GAGAAGGAAAGCGATAATTTTGGGGGCATTGGAAGCCTTGATGCAATGAAAATTAATGTTTAGATTTTCAAACCCGTATAGTTTGCAATACAAATTGAGAGCTAGCTATGAGGACAAAAAAGTGACACTGTGCACTACGATGTCTGCAGAGAGACACTGATGTGACGGGATGTCAGCTGGATCAAATGGTTCTATAAGAATTCCTCATCAAAGTGTGTTTAATCTCCAAGAACACAAAATCATTTTCCATGTCTGAAGTAAGTATGCTAACTACATACTCATTTTTAATGTTCTCTTTTCTCATGCTTTTCACTTTATTGCCTTCCACCTCGGGATTTCTGCTATTATGGGATTTCTTACTGGGTTGATGCTTGGCCAATATTTGTCTGACTTCTCCTTTTTTGTCTCCTGTGAAAACCATCTGAAACTAAGCAGAAACTAACCTTGATTTATTTCTTTAATAAACAAAATGAAGATACTGCATATTAATAAAAATGAAAACTATTCCCTTGTTGGTTTTTTTAAAGTTTCCAAAAACAGTCCCGTATCTCTGTCAAAGTTAATGGAACCAGAATTTCCATGGGAATTTCTGTCAGTCTGGGGAAACTGGAACTGGCTAATGTAAATAACTACAGCCCATCCTCCAACTACTGTTCAAATCACCTTGTGAGAAAGGAATGAGCTTTATTGAAAAGAAATATTTCTTTTGCGGACTACAACTAGTATGGGCTAAGAAAACTTTACAGGAACATTCTGTGAAAACCAGAGACAGAAATGAACCTAATGATGAACCATGACTTGAATTTCATGGGATTCTATGCAAAACTTTCTCTTTTTTGGTATGCAAACCAAAATTACCTAAAGACATTACAAGAATAGATCATTCTTTTACGATTTTATGACTAACTTCCTTGAGAGTGCTACATAGGCAAATAGTTTTACAGGCTGACATTTCTGTTTCTTTTAATAAGCCTAAGAATGTAACATATGTATGTAAAGAGTACCTGGCCTGTATGTTTCAGCTGAGATAGGACTGGGAATTAACTTCCCGACTCCCCATAAAAGACCCCAAACATCCAGAAAATAACCACTTTGGATAACAAAACTCCCTAGCACTTTCTTGCATATGGCAACTTAATTTTACTGGCAGTAGCATGAAAATTAGTTAATATTAGCTGTTAAATATTAGTTAATATAATATTACATGAGGTCTTTTGTATAACTGGAGTGTTTCATCTAAATGATTCCAGACGAACTTTGTAAAGTGACTGTTATTGAGGAAGGGCACAATAAACCACAGAAAGGCTGAGAGTACATGATTCCAAATGCTGATGTAGATTTTAAAGGATATTACTGCGTATGTGGTCACAGGAAGAGTTTAATAAGCCTGATGGTGAGAGCATGTCTTCCCATTCTAACTATTTTTCAGTTCTACATCTCCACCACTGACAGAGAAATTCTGTAACAACACAGAGCAGAACCTAGCAACTTCCCCTTGAAAAGACATATTGCTAGTTCAGAGGGACTACTATGCATGCACTAGTGTTCCCAAATGGGACCATGCTGTAGGAAATTCTGGGTATGGCAATGTAAACAACAGGACATTGAGGGTCAGGCAACGGACAACCGAAAATTCTGCAGCAAAGGCAACTGTGTCAAAGTTTAAGGCAATGCATTTCTAGAACCGAAAAGTTACAACCAAGTTGTTCTCATCATGATTTGGAAAAGAGGGTCATACTAGTCTTTTCAGAAAGCTGACATCGGTTTGGACCTTAATTTAATAAAGAGCAACGGAATAATTCAGCTGAGTATCAAGAAATAGTAAGCAATCAGGTACTCTGCATTAGAAGCAATGAATCAGCCAGAGACAACATGAAGTAGTCTGTTCTCATAATGACATTCCTGAACCAAAAGACAGTAAAACAGAAATGGAAAGCTGAAAGATGATTTAATGAAAGCTGCAGGCTTTCAGCCTCTGCAGGGCAGTACAGAGCATTGCATTTTCTGCCGCACTGCAGAGAGATCAGAAAAGCCCCTGGAAGGATAAATCCTGAAAACTCCGGTGAAAGGGATCTTCAGTGCTTTTAGTGCAGGCCCTTGTCTCAAGGCAGGATTAACTTTAGTTGAACTGTTCCTGAAAGACGTTTGTCTAACCTGCTCTTAAAATTTCCAGTGATGGACATAATGCAATCCTCCTAGGTCATGACAGTGTTGTCCTCGCCTCACAGGTACAATCCTTTTTTGCAACATAATCTCCTTGCTCCTCCTATTCTTTCCCAGTGGTCATGCAGAACAATGTATGTCTCCCTCTTTGCAATGGTCTGTTTTTCCTATTTTACCTTTTCTAGACTTATTTCAGTCTTTCCTCCTAAGTCACTCTTGTCACTCTCTTCTTGACAGCAGACTGACATTTCTGACTCATTCCCAGTTTGTGATTCACTAATCTTGGGGGTTTGCTTTTCAGAGCTACAGCCTAGTCATTTAGCCACCGCCTTGTCATTAGCTGTCTCATCATAAAAAGGGAGATCCAGATATTTGTGAAAGTGTCTGTACAATTATTGATATGCTAAGAAAAAAATGGGCATGACTCATCTTAAAGACAGCTTGTCCTTCAGATAACAAAATTTCTGGTTGAAGCACAATCTGGGCTTATAATCAGAAATGGGAGCAGATGTTTGGTTGAAGAAATGTGTGATTCAGTTAATTGACTGAATGGCGTATGCTGCGGTTTCCCTCTCAAGGCTGTAAGAAGATAACAAGATGTGAAGGAAAGCAACTGACCTATAGCTTTTTTATGTTTTGTCTACTTCTCACTGTAATGTACGTCTCATAGCAATGCGTCTGCACAATGAGAAAATACAGATATATCTAACATAGATAAACTCCACTTCCATTTAAAGGAGACTTGATTTGACAAAATTTAGAAGGGATTTTGAAACAAAGCGACATCTTTGATACTGGCTTACTTTCATGTTGTTACCTAGAATAATTTAACTCACAGGTATTTTAATGGTAGAGCTCTAAGAACAAACCTGAAGTTATCAGAGCATTGCTGTGTACTTTGGTGACAGGAATGCAGCAGGCTCCTCTGTGGTTCAGCTTCAACACTTTACAAAGTGTAAATCAACGTTCAAAATAAATTCACACTCATTCGATGGTATATAAAGTGGACCTCTGTAGGAAATAACTGCAAGAACACTCGATTAGTGTTCTCATGTTTTGCCCTACATTTCCTGTGTGGCCTTGTAACCATTACTGCCCCCTCTGTGCCTCACGAGTCTGTCGGGAAAATGGGAATAAGAGATAAAATACCTCATAAGAATGATGTATTTTTACAACTTTTCACCAGTGACTTCACTGATCTCTCTGTTGAAAATCACAGACTTCTCTGTCTCTCTGGAGCCAAAATGTCTTGATCCTCTCTTTCTTTGATAGTGGCACCTCACAATATAACCTCAAAATAAGAAAGAGTAGTTGCATCATAATTGCATGTATGATGATGAATTTGATGGGCAAGGCTCAAACTGGTAACAGGTTCACTTGTGTATCAAAACAGAAAAAGGGCGGTTTGCTCCTCCCTAACTTGTGAAAATGCTTTGCTGCTTTTTTTTTCCAGATTGCACCACCACGTCCTCCTGAATTCGGCTCTGGTAATAAGCCGCACGATCACAATTACCTCTGTTAACAAGTTGTGTAAGGAGCATTGCATTATCCCTGGCAGTTATATGAGTCACGGCCACGTCAAGGGTTTGTTACGGAGCCAAAAACAATGGCTTCGAGCTGAAAACTCTCTCTGCCTCACCTCCCACAGCTGTAAGATTTCACCCACCCATGTATCACAAACGCCGCTCATTATGAAGCTCATCATTCATTTCAGGACGGGTGTTCCACACGAAGTGTCGTTCTTCTCTCGCTTTATTATTTTTAAATCGCCAGCAGCGGTTGTTTTGCAGCCCGGAGACATTACCGCAGCACCACGGTTGGCAGCAACCAGAAACGCGGTGCCGAGGTCGCCGGGGAACCCAGCCTCCCTCCTCCTCGCACAGCCGCCATCTCCGCCTCTCTCCCTTGAGG